TTCCATCCCTTCTCGACGCACGCACGCAAACCCACCGCCCAAACAATTGCAAAAACAATATCCACAGAAGGAAAGTGGAACACGTCCCAACAATATATTATTTGCAGATCTCTCCTGGCGGAGCTGTTTTTGCTCTCCTCAAACTGATAGTGTGTCTCTGACTGTAAGGTTAGCACACAACATTTTCTGCTGCTTTTGGCTGCTCCCCACAACAAATTATCCCTCAGCATCCAACCCTGTCCCCACTTACTGCTACTGTTACACCAACCGTCTCGTGACTCCTTTGACTACAGCCATGAATCTTCTCTCCACGTCTGTGGCTGCTTCATCAACAACATCCTGGCTCTAAAATAAATAAAGAAATCAGCGTTCGTCTCAGACCTGGCTCTCCGACCGTTCGACCTCAGCTCTTCTTCTGATCTGATCTCATTTTGTATTCAGTCGTTCCTGGTGAACTCCAACCTCCTCAGACCAGTTCACTTTTCCGGGCAGAGTCATGTATCTTTATTAACTGAATGGATAAAAAAAATAGTATTTGCTTATTTTTGGATGCACTTATTACTCACCACATACTGTGGTGGGAGGCTGTGGAGAACTGTGATTTTCTTTTCAGGAAACCAGAAGAATTCAGGCAGTAATTCCTCAACTGTCCTGCAGTTGCCCCTCCACCCCCCCACCCCAGGACTATTGTTACCACTCTGCCCATCATCTCTGTTACAGCTATTACTTAAAACTTCATTTTACTTTTAATTACCACAAAACTCATATTCTCACTGAACAACAAGGAGACATTTTGTTAATCTATGTGCTTTACACGCTGTGGTACAAATTAAGACAATGTTAAAATTGAACTTAGTATCAATAGGTCCACGCCCCCCACTTTGGGAACCACTGAATTAAGGTGAATTGAAAAAAAATAAAAAAATAAATAACATTTTACACCTTTTTACACACAGTATTTTCTGGTATTGTTATAGACAAATATTTCAATTCACTTTTCAAACATTTTTTCTGTTTAATGTTTGATGCCATTATGAGTATCTTTAAACAATACTTCTGAACTGTTACAAGTCAGAGTTTTTTTAAATATGGTCTTTATGGTTTTACAACTTCAGACAGAAAAAAAAACATAAATGGTTACTGTTTTCGAGGAAAAAAGCAAAGAAAAGTACAGGTTGGTGTTTCCTGTAGCAGACGAAGCAAAAAAAAAAAAAAAAAAAACAGTCCAGACCAAGAACCAGTCTAAACTCAAGAACCTCGTTCTCCTGTGTTCCGTTTGCTTATATTTAATACGGATCACGAAATATATTTAGAAATATTTGAACAGGCAGTGCTTTTCTACAACAAAAAATCAAAAGTGATATATAATTATAATTTTTTATTTATATTATTACTATTCAAAAATAAAGAAAAGTCAGAAAAAAGTCATGATAAGGTACATGAAAAACGTTAAGGACGAAACAGGCTAAAGTAATGACAACAGTGACATCTGCTGGTGTTTATTAGGTAGGGTTTTTACAGCCCTTAATATCCAGATGTCTGAACATGCTCTGTGCTTTCTTTTTATTATATGTATTACATTTTTGATTTATTAATTAATTAAAAACCTCCGTCTCAGTGACTGATGTGACGACGTCAGTCCTCCCACCGTCCCTGTCCTCACTCCTGCCTCCCTCTAATTCCCATCCTGCATTGATCAATGGAGTGGTGTTACCCACTTATCAGCAGGACTAATTTATTTATGAACCTGTCATTTGTAATTATTGATCAGGTTGTTGTCCATTCAGGAAGTAATGAAATGCAGAGGTAAAAGATTCCCTAATTATTGTGTTTGGTATAATTGAGGGTGTGTGCTCTGCCCCTGCAGGAGGGTTCAGAGGGGCGTCGCCCCGCTGCTGCCCCCTCGGCCGCCACGCCACACACACGCCAGCAGAATCCTGCCAGAGTCATTAGAACGCCCGCTAATGCAACGCAGTGTCATTCAGTGAGACTTTGACATCGCAGTATTTCATTGTAAGCCCTATTTTAGTAAAAAAAAAAAAAAAACAGGAACTTGATTCAACCTTTACAGTCAGCTTTGTCAAAGAGGAAGACTTTCATTCAAACTCTCTACATGAAATTCTAATGAGCCGAGGGCGACGACTGCCACATCAATGATATTAAACCAAGGTCTTTTAAAGTTTGCTCTGATTTTTTTTTTTGGCCCACATCTATATAACGGCCTCGTGCTGACGATGCTTTTACCTGATATATTCAATTCAGACGAACCACAAACAACCTTTTACTCAATGAAATTAACTTTTAAAAATAATATGTCAAAGTAAGAATATTTTTACACACTCGTAGGAAAAGTCAATGAAGAAAACTAACAAAGTGCTGCGTCTCTTTTCTGAACTATATTCACGTTTTGTGCTTCATAAGGAATTTTACCACTGCCTTGAACCTGTGGTAACATTAGTGAAATATAATATATACTCTATAGTAGAGATCAGTATTTTAAGACAATAAAACTCTCAATTAAGCTCTGGTGGGCCTCATAAAATTAACCTGGTGGGCCAGATTTGTCCCACGGGCCTTGAGTTTGTGACCTAAACACTTTTTTAAATAATTGAACGAACAAGTAAAGATAAATGTAAAAGTCTTCCCCATTAAAACTTTCACTGACTTCACTAGTCATGGACGTGATGTGAAAGGTCGACGGGCCAAAAGTGGCCCCCGGGCCTGAAGTTTAACACCCTCGCTGTAATATGGAGGTCTGCCCCACATGAGTCTGCGAACCGAAGCCTCCACATCTCAGTCTGCAGTTTCCATATAAAGTGAATCATTTGTTTGGTGAATTATTTTTATATCTTAAGGACAAAGTACTTTACTTTGGAGGTACTTTGATAAGAAGTCAGTAGAGGAACTCTGTTTGTAATTCCTGTGAGTATTTGGTAACCATTTGTAAATGCTGAAGTCCAGTCTATGTGTAACCAAAGGATGTTCCACAGATAGATGGAGGATAAAAAGTGTGGTTTTTAAAAACAGCGTTTGCCGCGGGGGACGGAGCCTCAGCGGTGAAACCCAGACAGTTCCCTCCCCTGCCACTTCCACCAGCTCCTCTGGGGGAGGCCGTAGTATCGTCAAACCAGTGGGGAGACATAATCCCTCTAGTGTGTCCTGAGGCCTGCTCTTAGATGGCCAAGTCCACAACAACTCCTAAGGGAAGCTGGGGGGGCGGTTGGGGGGGGGAGGTATCCCGACCACTCGTACTGCACAGGATTCTGTGGATGAGGAGGAGCGCTCACCCTACGGTACCATGATCCCACCAGAGGGGTGGTCTCCTCATCCAGGCTGTAGGGCCGAGCACGGCTGTACTACATAGAAAACCACATCGTCCTACCTATGACTTCATGGGCCAAATCTGGCCCGCTGGCCATGGATTTGAGCCTGATGTAGAAAGGCAGCATTTTTACTGAAAACCACATCGTCCTACCTATGACTTACTGTCAAGTAAAAACAGCCATTTTTTTTACTACTGGTCACAAAATAATTCAGCTGTGTGACAATAAGAATGTTTGAATTTTTTTTTTTTTTTTCCTCAACAAGTTAGCCCAAAAATTGGGCAAACTATGGCCCGGGGGCTTGATGCGGCCCGTTTGGTTTTTTGATCCGGTCCACTAAACCTGTCCAATTTATATTATTGCATTAAAGTTTCATTATACTTATGCCTTTCCACTGCAATACCCGCATTTCCCCATTGGATGGTGCAGAAAAGGCTAACACCATTTTAGCCTTTTAGCCTTTATGCATGACTTTTTACATGTCATTTATCCTAGTTACCACAAGCTTTCCACCTATCTGCTCCTGACCCAGACCCCTGTCAAATTTTAGGACCCAGAGTGGTCCGCGAAATTTGCCCACGCCTGGGTTAACCTGAACAAAGGACACAGAATTATGTGGGGGGAGTCCAGCACTAAGCCCTGCAGGAATCCATAGACTTTACAAGATGTAAATATTTGTCAAATGTTGTACTAATAGAGTCAAAATCACTGGGTGAACTGGACTACTCTCTCTTTTTAACATAATCCGTGAAACTGGACACATCTAAAAAAAACATGAGTCTCATTTTAGACCAGACATCAGACAGCACCACACCCTACTACAGTACTGTACCGTTTCAGAGCTCGCCTTTCACTTTTGTTACTATCCAGTCACTCATCATCACTTATGTCCATGTGCAATCCATGGATTTGGATGGTTGACCGCGGCTATTTCAAACTTTTTTTAAAAAAAAAAAAAACCTCTGCTCTGTCCGTTTGTTACATCTTCACCTTTTCACTCGTCTTGCAGATTTTGACAAAGCCCAGCAGCTCAGATGAATTGGCGCAGGTTAAAAGTGCACTGCTGGTCTGACCCATTCATGAGGAAAATTATTTATTTTGATTACCCACAATATGGTTCGGTGCCACAAGCCCCGCAGGTTTTGTCGGCCACTCAAATTGCCTTTCACTCCTGGAAAAAAAATAAAATAAAATTTATAAAATGTCGAGTCAGCAGTTTTTGCTGAAGAATGGCGTCTATAATTTTATTCAGGCGCTGAGCGAGTCAACACAAATTACACCTCTGCAAAGGTGCAATGTATTACTTTTATTGTTAGATTTTTTATTATTATTATTATTAAGAGGCAAAACCAAATCAGAGTTGTTAATATTCACCTTAAAGATAATTATTATTTTTCTATATTCTAACAATGGACTGTGGGTTTTTTCAAGTCAGCAAGTTTTAAGAAACTGCTTGAGAATAAACAGGAACTCTTATCAATGGTGAATTAACTTATTTATGCCTGTAGTGGGCAGTATTGAACACACAATAACAACACCTGTAAATATACATATATTTATATATATACTGTATATATGCAAATATATGCTGTATATGTGTAAATATAGTTATATGTATTTTTATAGAAATGTGTGTGTAAATATATACATCTATGTTTATTGATTTCTTTAAGGAACAGTCAGTTAAAAATGCAGTTTATTCAATATTTAAAAAAGCACATTCTACTAATATTTTCAGAAATTCAACTTTGCAGCAGTTTTTCATCTTTAAAGCTTTAGAAAAGTTCCATCAAAGTCAACAGTCAAACCAATGTTTATTGCATTATCGTCAACTTTAAAGGAGCGCTGTTTTCTAATAGGACAATAAACCATACTGTGCTTAAAGGTGCAAAACAGTACAAATTGAGTACCATCAATTAACAAGCTCAGAAATGACAGTACTGCATGTGTTTGGTGGCGTAAGTACTACGTACATATTTGACAAAACAAAATGGTGGCTAACCTCACCCTACAGAACCTGATGAGATACAGACAGAACCACTGATTGGTACAACTGATCGACTGGAGTCAAAAGTGAAAGCTTCGGAATCCGGCTGTATAAGGAATGCAGAGAGCAGCTTTTTATTAACACAAAGTTCTCGTTCTTCATCAAGGCCAACGGTTAGCAACGACTTAGCAACAGTCTCTCAGTAAACGATGGCTAGGACGCACGTTGATTTAAATTGAAGTTTTTGTCTGATCAACAGCCATTGATGTTCAAAGTTGGTGGCGACGGACGGGACGTCACACCGAGTACGTGTTAGTTTGTGAGTCATTGTTTGGAGCCGTCCGCCTCGCCGTTGGGTGCGGTCGACTCCCGTTTCTCGGCCTGTCTTTCCAGGCTGGGACTGAGGCCCCTGAGTGCTGCGGAGGGCATTCTGGAAACCCCGTTCACCGTCAGGCCTCCGCTGTCAATGGGGCAAATATAATCCGCCGATTCATCAGGTTTCCTCTTCCTCAGGTGGCTGAATTGGGTGAAGCCCAATTTCTTTGGCTGAAAACCAAAACCAAAATCAAATTAGTATAAGAATTAATTTTAAATCAGACATAATCATCACACATCAACCTTCTAGAATATCACAAAAAACCCATCATTTTGTCTATATGTATTGTT